TTGCTGAGTGAAATAAGTCAATCACAGAAGGACAAATATTGTATTAGTCCATAAAAAGTCAAGGAAAGGTTTATACATGGCAGGAAATTTTCTTTGTTGGTTACCAGGGGTGGGAGGGGAGGGAAGGGAACACTGTTAGATAGAGACAAGTAGTGATTTGGGTGAAGAGAAGAGCAATGTACCAAATGTGAGTGATCAACACAGGAGGAAGAGGAAGACATAGAGAGGTGCATGGGGAGTACAGACAACAAAGATGAACCCTTTTGCACATACAGTACTGCGTTGTCAGTGATGGCAAACATTGATCTATGGGTGGATAGATGGGTGGATGGGCTGAATAAGTAGATATATCTATGCAGGGGGAGTACATAGGATTGACCTATATATATAGGGTTGACCATGTATAGGGTTGACAGACAATGTTTCTAAAATTGTATTTATATGTTCTGTAAGAATTTCCAGGTATATAGTAGAGTTGACAAGGGGCAAGGTTGCAGTTACTTCTTGGCCACAGCCAGCTACCCAGGGGGAGCAAATATTTGGACCTGTGGGCTTGGGACCACGGTTGCAGGGGACATCAAGCTCAACTGGTATAACATACTACACAAAAACATTGTTGCACATCCTACTTTGGCGAGTAGTAGCTGGGATCTTAAAAGCTTGCAAGTGGTGATCTAGATGCAGAACTGGGTCTCTCCTCATCCAGAGCAAAGAAGAATGAAGAAAACCAAAGACACGTGGAAAAAATTAGTTCCAGGGAGTGATACACCATGCGATCCTCAGCCTATATGACCATGAGACCAGAAGAACTAGATGGTGCCCCACTACCACTGTCAACCACTCAGAGGGGGATATATGTAGAACACCCTGCATAGAGTGGGAGAACAATGTGGAACAAAATTCAAAATCATTTAAAAAAAAAAAAAAAAAAAGGGACCAGGTTTATCTGGGAGAGCCTGGTAGAACCCCTGAGACTATGGCCCCTAGCTGCCCTTCAGGTCTGGAATTGAACCCTCTCTTGCGGCTTCCAGCCAAACAAAAGACAGGCACATGAGCTGAACATTTACATTAGGTAGATACATTCCTTGGAGAGATCAATCATAGGAGAACAGAAGGACTATATATGCACAGGGAGACAACACAGGGGGCAAGAGTGCACAGGAGGGAAGGACACAGGAAAGAGGTGGCTATGGGGAGGAAGTGGGAGGAGAGCTGTTGCAATGTGGGAGATTGCAGTCAATGTCATGAGACAATGTTTATGTGAAGTGCTGTATGGAAGATGAATTTACTTTGTAAACTTTCACCCAAATCACATTAAAAAAAAAAAAAAATTGGTTATATCATTTTACAGTCCCACCAGCAGTGTACAAGAGTCCCAATTTCTCCACATCCTTGTTAATATTTGTTATTTTCTGTCTGGTTGAACTTTACTATTAATGCTGGGGGCAAGATGGTATCTCACTGTTGTTTTGATTTGCATCTCTCTAATGGCTAATGATCATGGGTATTTCTCCACGTATTTGTTGGCTTTCTGAATATCTTCCTTGGTGAAGTGTCTGTTTGTATCTTGTGCCCATTTTTGAATTGGATCATTGTCTTTTTCATGTTGAGGTGTTGGGAGTTTTGTATAAATTTTAGAGGTAAGTCCTTTGTTAGATATTTCATTGCCAAATATCTTTTTCTAATCTGTAGGTTCTCTTTTTTTACTATTTTGGATAAGTCTTTTGATGTACTTAACAATTTAATTTTTAGAAAATCCCAGTCGTCTAGTTTATCTTCCATTGTTATGTTTCATAGTCTATTTATGCCAATATTAAGGTCCCTAAGTTTGCCCCTATTTTTTCTTTGAAGAACTTTATACTGTCAGGTTTTATATTTAAGTTTTTGATCCATCTTGAGTTAGTTTTTCTGTAAGGTGTGAGGTATGGACCTTGTTTCATTTTTCTGCAAATGGATATGCAGTTTTGCCAGCACTATTTGTTAAAAGACTGTCTCTTCCCCATTTAATGGATTTTGTCATTTGATTTCTTGATTGCTGCTTCCATGGGTGTTAACTGTGGATACAAGTAAAATGCAACCCATGACAACTTCAATTATTTTCTGCATTTACCATGATGTTGGTGGTTGGTCCACTTTTAAGGATTTTTGTTTTCTGTATGTTGTGATGCAATCCACACTGAAGGTCTTTGAGCTTCATCAGTAAGTGCTTCAGGTCCCTTTCTCTTTCAGCAAACGAGGTTGTGCCACCTGCACACTGCAGGTTGTTCATAAGTCATCCTGATGACACATTCTTTTTTTATATAGTCTGGTTCCTCAGATTATTTGCTCAGCATACATATTGAAAAAGCATAATGAAATAATAAAACCCTGACACATACCGTAACTGATTTTAAACCATGAAATATCCCCTTGTTCTATTTAATGAGTATCTCTTGGTTTATGTACAGGTTCTTCAAGAGTACAATTGAGTACTCATTCTCTGTAATGTTATCCATAATGTGTTATGACCCATACAGTCAAATGTCTTTCCATAGTCAATAAAACACAGGTAAGCATCTTTCTGGTATTCTCTATGTTCAGTCAAGATCCACCTGACACCAGCAATGATATTCCCTGCTCCACATCCTCTTCTCAATCCAGCTTGAATTCCAGGCAGTGCCCTATCTATGTACTGCTGCAACTGTTTTTGAATTATCTTCAAATTTTACTTGCATGTGATATTAATGGTATTAGTCAATAATGTCTGCATTCTGTTGATCATTTTTCTTTGGAATGTGCACAGATATGGATCTTTTCCAGTCAGCTACCCAGGTTCTTCCAAATTAATTGGCATAAATGAGTGAGTGCTTACAGTGCTGCATGTGCTTGTTGAAATATCTCAATGGGTATTCCTTCAATTACCAAAGGCTTGCTGTTTGCAAATGCCTTCAGTGTAGCTTGAACTTCTTTCTCCAGTACCACTGGTTCTTGATCATATATTCTCCTGAAATGGCTGAATGTTGACCAATACTTTTTGGTACAGTGACTCTGTGCATTCCTTCATGTTCTTTTCATGTTTCCTGCATTGTTTAGTATTTTGCTCATTGAATCCATCAATATTCAACTTGAGGCTTGAATTTTTTCTTCAGTTCTTTCAGCTTGCAAAATGCTGGGCATGTTCTTTCTTTTTGGTTTTCTAACTCCAAGTCTTTGCATATTTCATCATACTACTTTACTTTGTCTTATCGAGCTGCCCTTTGAAATCTCCTGTTCAGCTCTTTTACTTCATCATTTCTTCCATTTGCTTTAGCTACTCTACGTTCAACAGCAAGTTTCAGAGTCTCTTCTGACATCTATTTTTGTCTTTTTTTTCTTCCCTATCTTTTTAACAATCTTTTACTTTCTTCATATATAATGTCCTTCTACAACTCTAAGTCTTTAGTTACTGGTGCACAATGCATCAAATCTGTTCTATAGTCTCTAAATTCAGGTGAAATATAATCAATATTATATTTTGGTAGTTGCAGACTTGTTTTAATTTTCTTGCATATGAGCAATTGATGGTCTGGTCCACAGTCAGCCCTGGCCTTGTTCTGACTGATGATACTAAGGTTCTCTATTGTCTCCTTCCACAGATATAGTAGATCTGATATCTGTATATTAAATCTGGTGAGGTCCACGTGTATAGCTGCCATTTATGTTGCTGAAAAAAGGTATTTGCAGGGAACAATTAGTTGGTCTTTGCAAAAGTCTATTATGTGATCTCTGGTGTTGTTTTCATCAAAAAGGCCTATTTTCCACCTACTGATCTTTCTTGTTTCCAACTTCATTGTGTTTCAATTACCAATAAACATCAATGCACCTTGATTACATGTTTGATCAATTTCAGATTGTAGAAGTTGGTAAAAATCTTCAACTTCATCTTTGGCTTTCGTGTTCGGTGTGCAAATCTGAACTAACATTCATTTTAACTGGTCTTCCTTGTATGTTATCCTATCACTGACAGCAGTGTACTTCAGGACAGATTTTAAAAAAATATTTTTTTGATGATGAACGCAATTCTTCTTCAGTTTGTCATTCCTCAGTTTGTCATTCCTGGCGCAGTAGATCATATGACTGTCTGATTCCAAATGGCTAATACCAGTTCATTTCAGCTTACTAACACCTAGGGTACAAATTTTATACATCTCATTTTTGACAGCTTCCAATTTTACTAGATTTATACTTTGGTACATTCCATGTTCTGATTATTAATGGATATTTGCAGCTGTTTCTTCTTATTTTGAGTCATTCCACACCAGGAAATGAAGGTCCTGAAAGCTTTACTCCAAACACATCAGTAAGGATAACTCTACTTTAAGGCGGCAGCTCTTCCCCAGTTGTATTTTCAGTGCCTTCCAACTCGAGGGGCTTATCTTCTGACTCTATCAGACAATGTTCCAAAGCTATTCATAAGGTTTTCAGTGACCAGTTTTTAGAAGTAGACTACCACATCCTTTTTCCTAGTCTGTCTTAGTCTGGCAACTCCAGTGAAATGTGTTCACCATGAGCGACCCTGACGGCATTTAAAATACTAGTGGCCTAGCTTCCAACATCACAGCAACATCCAAGCTACCACAGGACAACATGACAGAGGAATAGTGGATTCTAGGCATAAAGACTAGAATTTGCCCAAACCTACCTACTTATGTTTCTCCTAATGCTGCTCATGTATTCATCCTGTTTGAAGTGCTTTCCTTCCATCTCTTTCCATCTGTGGAAATCCTATACATCCTACTGCAATTATTATCTCCTTCACACTGAGTGCTCATGTGTATGTTAGTCTGGTGTCTCTTGAACACTGTAACGCTCTGATTCTCTCTCATACATCCAGCAATTTTCGTTTTCTTGTTTTTTTTATTGTTTAAATGTCCATAGGGTTAGAGGCTGTCTAGTTCATGCTTTATCATCTACTGAGTAAAACACTGGTAGTACACAGACACTCTCACTCTGTATACATAACAAACAACAATTTCACTAACCTCCAAGAAACTCTTCTCTAAGGCCACACGGATGTTGGTCTCTATGCTGGTGCGTTTCTTCCTCCTACGATTCAAGCCCTCAATTCCCGGCCCTGGAGAATTCAGGGCACCTGGGCTGGAGAGAGCAGAATCAGATGAGAGGTTCTCTGTAAGAAAGAAGAAAACACAGAAATAAAATTATGGTAGTATTATAATTTATGCACGCAATACGTTTATTAACAAAAACCTGGCCAAAATAGTTTAAGCAACAGAAAACATAAAAAGGTTTTCACATCAGCTACATTAATTCATTTTCCATTACTATGGTTCTCCTTACTTCCCTTATTGGTGCTCTTTGCCCCAGTGAGATACATGAATGGAACTCTGTAAGACTATAGGTGGCGAGTGAAATAAGTCAATCACAGAAGGACAAACACTATATTAGTCTACTATTGTAAAAAGTCAAGGAAAGGTTTGTACATAGGAGGAAACTTTCTTGTTTGGTTACCAGGGATGGGAGGGGAGGAAAGGATAAATTTCTCGATAGGTTGGGGGTGGTGGTGGAAATATATCTATATATATAAAATCCAAAGATTATTAGTGGTTACCAGGAGTAGGAGAGAAGGGGAAATGGAAAGCTTTTGTTTGTGGGGCACTGAGTTTAGGGTAATAGTGGTGGAATATTTTGGAAAAGGATAGCAATAATGGTGGCACAACATGAAAAATGTCATCAATGTCCCTGAACTGTAAATGGAGAAGTTATGTTGGCACATGTTTTGTTGTGTAAGTTTTTACCACAAGAAAAGTTAATATATATAAAAAATAAAAAGATAAAGGGAAAAAAAAAAAAAAAAAGACTACAGATGGCTAGGCCTTGCTCAGAGCTACTGATTTAAATTGCCCAAGGGTAAGTGTCTCTGGCTTGTCTTTTCCAAACACATGTAATTTTTGTTCACATCTACAATGAGAACCACAGATTGGAGGGTGTCTCTGGTTCCTTACAGCTTTCACAGTCTATGTTTCTGAGACTCAAATCCAACTTTCCAAAATGAAATATGAGCACAAAAAAGATAAATTAAATCTAGTAGCACACATATACACAAACCCAAAAACAAAAAACACAAAAGCAGTAACAATAGAAAACCAGTAGCACAACTTTTAATGTACAAAATATCTGAGGTTATTTTTAATAATAAAAGGAGAAATATTACCAGGAAGAAGTTTTGTAATAATTTATGACGAATGAGTAAATTTGCTTTTCAGGTTTATCTAAATAGTAGGCTTTCTTACCATCTTCTTTCAATTTTTTGTCTATCTCTCACCCTGGCTGAAAAACAAGAAATATCTCAGGGCTCAAAATTATTGCTGATTGTCTTCACTGTAATCATTAGAATGTTTTAATGAAATAGCTCTCTGATTTATTACATAGTCATAATTTATACTGGTCTTCCCAGGATTAGTGGGCTTCAAGGTTTGGTTGTATCAATAATGTAATACAAAATATAAACTCCAATTTATAAAACAATATTCCCCTGTGAACTTCCAAAGAATAACAAGGGTATTTCTTATATATTCACCTACCTGCATCATTTAGCCACTTCTCTAAAAGTGGCTTTAACTTGCACATGTTCTTAAAGCTGAGGTTCAAGGCTTCAAAGCGAGAGATGGTAGTCTGGCTGAAGTCATTTCCGTACAGTTTACCCATAGCGAGCCCAACATCACCCTGCACAACAATACAGAGCAGGAGATGGGGAGAGGAAAAGAGATTGATGTCACTAATGTTTACAGCCTTCACTCTGGGGTGTCCCTCCAATAACTGCTTTGGACAAAGAGTCAACAATCATTCCATTTCCTGGCTCCCACAAAAACATCCATTCCTACACTGAGCACACTATTTCAGTGAAAACTGTTAATTAGACCTTGATTGTGACAACGTTCACACTGTCCTATACAGTCTCCATTTTTAATTTCTTCTTGCTGCTGCTACCTTATGTAAAAATCAAGATACTAAATATTTTCACTAAGTTTCAAAAGATAGTACTAATACTCTAACAATCCCCTTAATGGATGCAATTGAAGTGATTTAATAATCTTTAAAAGTTAATTTACCTGTATCACCTACAAGGTTAATGAATATAACTATCAAGATAACCTCAGGTATTTCTAAACTAACCAAAGTTCTTATAAAATCACTTTAAAATTTAGAAATGATTCCTCATTTATTTTTCTCCCTGTAAAGTATTTCTGGAAGGAGTGAAAAAGAATCTATTTTCCACCCTTAGTTTGGATTTCAAAGTTGGTTACAAAAAGCAGGTATTCTAAAAGATCTTTTTAAAAATTATATCTATATATATCTATATACAGAGATATATATATATATATATCTCCATTACAGAGACAAATTCACAGTAGAGAGGTTTGACCCATTTAGTCAAACCTTCATGAGTACTGGAAACTTGGTAACCTTATGGCAACAGAACAATGATTCCCTGAATATATTATAAAAGATATGTCTCTCTATAAGCCATATGTGGCTATCTCAATTTATTCAAATAAAATGAAATTAAAAATTCCATTCCTAGCACTATAAGCCACCTTTCAAATGCTCAAAAGCCACATGTGGCTAGTGGCTATTGCACTGGACAGCACAAACACAGAACATTTCTACCATTACAGAAAGTTTTATTGACAGCTCTATATACATTATCTCAAACTAGAGCTGAAGTGGACTGTTTACTGATTTCCTTCCAATTACAGTAAAACTGAAAGAAACAGGATAGTGTGAGTGGGGCATAACCTCAAAAACCAAACTCACTGCCACTGAGTCTGATCCAACTCATAATGACTCCTCCTTGGGTTTCTGAGGCGGTATTGCTACAGAAGTAGATTGCCCAACCTTACTTCCAAAGACAGGCTGATGGGTTTGAACTGCCAGCCTTCTGGTTAGCAGTCAAGTGCCTTAGCCACTACACATAAATGCTATCCATTATATCTATGTATCAGTGTGTGTGTGTGTAAGATTCACACACATACATATATGTATTTATTGAAAGTTACTTCATTCAATCAACAAATATTCATTAAGTACCTATTATGTGTCAGGTGCTGAACTTACAATTTCTGTGTCACATATATTCATGTCTGAGTCATTTTACATATTTAGATTAAAGCTTTCTAGAAAACTAGGACAAAATGACTACTGTAATTGTTTTAGTATAGGCCCTGATACAGCAATTGTTGTTGTTGTTGTTGTTATGTGCCATTGAGTCGGACCCGACTCATAATGACCCCTCCTTGGGTTTCTGAGGTAGTATCACTACGGAAGTAGATTGCCCAACCTTCCTTCCTAGGAATGGCTGGTAGGTTCAGCAATTAGATGGGACTAAATGTCTTCTGCTATTATAACTATAAAATTTTCTAAGAAGTTTTCACAAACGTGATCATAGAATATTAAGTCAGTGGCAGTGTTTGGAACAAAAAAGCTACTTTCCCAGATGCTTGTTTAAACTATCAAAATATATTTTACTTTAAGTGAAATTTAAAAAAAAATTAATTTAAATTCTGATTAATTTGGATGTTTCACCTTCAACAGATAATTTCATTAGTTAGCATGTGTGTATGTCTTTCCCTCTCTTCAAAAACACTATTTTTAAATAAACCTTTCAAACTTTTCTTCTAAAGTTAAAGTTATTATAAGAAACTGTAATCTTTATTCTCAGTCTTACATGTATAACACTAGGTTCTACAATCACATGTTCTTAAAATAAGAAAATATTCAGCATAATCATGTTATCCCTCAAACATAATCTTCTGAACTCTCACTATTTACTGGTATAATCATAATTTCAAAGGACTGTGTGCTGAGAAAAATCTTAAAGGTTTTAACCTAACATTAAATTTTAAACTTATAACTGATAATAGTCTAAACTTGTAAACGCAGGAAATAGTTAAGGAAAAGGTACAGTTCTAAACCAAAGAAAAAGAAGGAAAAAAAAAAGCTGAGGAACATACTGTTCCTTAGAAGCCTCTATGTACATGTACAGCCAAGATTTACATCCAGTTGAAGAGGGAAAAGTAAGTAAGAGTGGGTTCATCCTACCTGAGTGAATCCAAGTTTGATTCGTCTTTGTTTGAAGGTCTTGGCAAATTGCTCAAGCTCCTCAAGGTCACTGGGCTCCTCCAAGCTGGGAGTATCAATTCGCTTTGGTGTTGACTGGCTCTGTGGAAGTGTCTGGATTGGGGTTGCTGCTATTGTGCGTGTTGGGGTTGCTGGCTGTTAGGGAACAGAACAACAAGATTAAATGTTAAGTTTACAATTGCAGCATGGTACAAGTGAAAAACTTAAGGAAATAGTTATATTCATCAAGAATTATGAAGATCATGTAACACCACAGAATAAACAGCACAGTGTTAAGTGAGAAAAGTAGAGTGTGAAATTATGTATACTATACTCTGGTAGCATAGTGGCTAAGGCACTTGACTGCTAACCAGAAGGCTGGCGGTTCAAACCCACCAGCCACTCCTCGGAAGGAAGGTTGGGCAATCCTACTTCCGTAGTGATACTGCCTCGGAAACCCAAGGAGGGGTCGCTATGAGTCAGGGCTGACTCGACGGCACATAACAACAACAACAACATACCTACAGTAAGGTTAAAAAATGTAAATCTATGGAAAAAGTTAAAATGAAATCCTTTCTGTTTGGTTTTTCAAATGATTTGAATATATGTATTTTGCGCCTTTTAATAAAAAGTATGGTTAATAAACATGAAACACTCCTCTATATTTAAGACTCTATTCCAGAAATATGCTACTTATACTGCACATTTGAAATACAGATACAGCAGGGACTGTATCTATTTTATCACTATCATATCTCTAACATGTAACACAGTAATATAAAAATATTGAAACTATTTTCAGGGGAAAAGTAAATCATCTGGAGTTTAAAGAACTTCATATAATAGGCTTCCTTTTTCCCCCACATACTTATATTTTTTAACTGTAATTATGGTATTCATAATTTTATATTCTGCCTTTCTCACTTAACACTATGTATCTTTTTTCCCATGGTGTTACACAGTCCTCTTTATTATTATTCAAAGGCTGACTGAGGCAATATGATCATAATTTATTTAACTATTTCATCACTGCTGGACACTTAAGTTTTTCATTGTGTTTTCACTAACATAGATAACATCACAAAGACAAATTTGGTGCATGTCATTATTTTTTCAGTCTTCGTAATTTGTTCTTTAAGATAAATTCACAAAATTTTCTGGTAAATGAATAAAGCGTACACTATGAGCAATGTTAAGGCTTTTGATACACATGATAATGTTGATTCTCACTATGCAATCTAGTTTCCCCCATGTGATTTGTTAGCAGTTTTTAAAATGTTACTCCATTGTTTTAATTTGTGTTTCTCTTAATATATAAAGTCAAAATTTCCCCATGTGTCCATTATTATCTATATTTCCTTTTATATAGACTTACACTCTTAACCCATAAATCTATTAATGATATCTTTATTCTTAACCTTAAAGGGCTCATCAAATGGAACAGATTAAGATTTGTCTGATGTATTAAAGCAAATAATTATCCTAATCTGACCTTTCAGTTTTCAGTGTACATAAATTTCAAATTATTATTTGGGTAAACATTTTTTTTCCCTAGTATCTTCTGTTGCTTCAAATCTAAGAAAACTTTCACTTCTTTCTAGCTCTGATAAAATTCTTTTTAATGTTCTGGTAACAACTTTTTCTATATAATTTAAAAATATTAATTCCTTAAATTCATCCAAAGTTTACTTTGAGGCATGAGGACATATTCTTATATTATTCAAAGGAAAATATTAAATTTCTTTATTACACAAGGCTACTCTTGTCTTCTCAAAAGTCCTATAGTACATGCTCTTCTGTGCATTCACTAGAGTGGGAGGTGCTGTGCTGGTACATTGTAACTGCTCAGTTGACCCATCCCGGGCACAACAATCCAAGTGTGAGATTATAAACCAGGACTACAGATGAAATCTGTGCCTGAGGGTTTTTCTACTTGTAATTTAACAGGGTCATTAACTCCTGACCTTGACCTCATTAGTTATGTTCTCTCTCTTCAACTGAACTAACTGGCCTAGAAAAGTACACAATAGGCATTATACAGGCAACAATTGGGATAAGCTCCTTTCTGTTATGGTGCTTCAACGAAGAAAACAAAGTTCATCTACAGGACACAGAATACTGAGTAATTTTCAACCGAACCACTTTGAGGGAGCCAAAAGCAGCATCAATCATATTAGAATCCTCTAATATGAGGATTCTTACAGTGAAATTTTAGTTGATCGGGAGAGGTGAGTCTCAACTATCAGACTATTACTTCATTTCCAGACTTGAAGTAGCCCCATTCTCAAATAATAAAGGACTTAAAATAGCTTGGGTACCTTTAGGTGGGGTGGTTACAGATAAGTTAACCCCAACTCCAAAAACCTCAGGCTGGATTGGGCCAGATCTAGAAATGGTAGAGTAGAATTCTGTGAGCAGGAGTCAGGAGGAAGCTACAACCACCCTGCTGCTGTGTGTAGAGCATGCAGGCCAAGGAGTCCAGTAACAGCTATGTTCAAAACTCCAACCTTATTTCATTTGTCTATAATTTACATACAATTAAATCTACCAATTTAAAGTGTACAGCTTGATGTGTTTTGACAAACATATACAGTCATGTAAATGCTAACACAATCAAGATACAGAGCATTTCTTCCTCCCAAAAGCTTTGTTGTGTCCCTTTGCATTCGGAATCCCCAACCCTCATTCCCACCTTCTGACAACCATTGATCAGATTTCTATCCCACGGTTTCTGTCTTTTCTAAAATGTCATAAGCTGAATTATACAATATACAATCTTAGGTGTCTGACTTTTTTGATTTAGCATAATGCTTCTGAAATTCCTGCATGTTGCATCTATCAGAAATTTTCTTTTTATTGCTGAGTAATATGCCATCATATGGTTAAACCAACATTCATTTTATCTGTTCATCAGCTGATGGACATTTAGAGGTTGTTTCTGGTTTGAGATGATCATGAATAAAGCTGCTATGAATATTCATATACAGATCTCTGGGTTGACATACACATTTATTTCCAGGAATAGAATTGCTATGTCATAAAGTACATGTACACTTAATTTTATACAAAAGCTGCCAAACATTTTCCCCCTCAAAAAATAGTGGGCCATTTTGTAAACCCAATAGCAATGTGTAATAGTTCTAGCTATTCTAACATTCTTGCCAACACTTGGTATTATCAGAGTGCTAAAGTGTGTATGTAGTGATATTCCATTTTCATTTATCTGATGAGTAATGATTTTAAGGATCTTTTCATATGCCTCCTGGTCATTTGCATAGTTCTTCAGTGATGTATCTTCAAACTTTTTTACTTTTTAAAAATCGTATTGTTTTATTATTGAGTTATATGAGTTTTTTTTAATAAATTTTGGATATAAATCTTGTACCGATATATGCTTTAAGAATATTTTCTTCTATTTTGTGACTTTTCATTCTAACAGAAGTCTATGATTTTTATGAAATTAAATTTATCATTTTTCTTCTTTTATGGTTAGTACTTTTTGTGTCTTTTTCAAGAAATCATTTTCTTACCCAAGGACACAATACAATTCTCCTAAGTTTTCTTCTAGAAGTTTAGGTCTATGACCCATTTTAAATCACTTTTTGTGCATGGTGTGAAACAAGGGTCAAGGCTCTTTTTTTTTTTTTTTTTTTTTAACATATGAATAGTCAACTGTTTGAGCACTGTTTTTTCAAAAGACTCCTTTTCTCACCAAGATTTTTAGTAAATTTTTTTGCTAGAGTTGTCTACAGAGACAATCATGTTGTTGTTTAATTAAGACAGTTTTATTTCTTCCCTTCTAATCTGTATGCCCCTTACCTCTTTTTCTTGCCTTATGGCAACGGTTACAGGCTTCAGTACAATGTTGAACAGAAGTGGCAACAAAAGATCTATTTTTGCTTTGTTCCTGTTCTTAACGGGAAAGTATTTAGTCTTTCATCATGAAGTATGGATGTCAGGTTTATTTGTATATGCCCTTAATCAAAGATAATGAAGTCACCTTGTGTTCCTAGTTTGCAAGTTTTTAATCACAACTAAATGCCAAATTCTGTCAAATTTGGTATTGTGTTAGTTTTAAGTGATAACTTCCATGACTGCAGACAAAGAGAGTTAGGAACTAGAAGGGGGACTCATGATTAGCCAGTTCAGTCACCCAATTTTACAGATGAGGAAACTGAGGCTCAAAGAGGAGAAATGACCTGCTCAAATTCACAGCTAGTTAAGAAGCAGAAACATAAAACTTAAATCTTCAGATGCTTAGATGCTTTTTATGATTCAATTCTGGTGAAAGTGAGCTAAAGCAACATTTGAGAGTTGAGAGGAAAGGAAAGAAAACATAGAGATCAAAGGTTCTTTGAATGTTCTGAGAAAAAGCAAAGGCCAATGATGGGTTTTAATAGAGGAACTAGGCTTCTACATCAAATGGTAATCTCTATTGCCAACTATTGGAATGAGGTAGAGGATTAATGGCTATGACTTATTATTCATTTACTCCTAAGAAAATTATTCTTTATGAACATATAAGAAAATATGGACTCCTTGAATATTTTCATAGGCAGCATCAATTTGGCAGCATTACTGCATCAGGGTGTTACGTCTAGTTGCTTGGTCTAAGAATTTTTGAAGACTTTTAGATTATTTTTATAGGGTGATTTTTAAAAGAGAAAAACTAAATTAGGCCCAGAAGTCCCTCTTCCCAAAATAATAGGTCAAAAAAAGCAACTCCTAAGGAAGAAAACTGACCTGGGAAGTGAGGGTGATGCTTGGCTGCGACTGTAGGAGGTTGGCTTGGCTTTGCTGAGGTAGTTGCGTTAAAAGATTTTGCGCTTGCAGGAGACCTGTAAAACACAAAACATAGCATGCCATAAACATTAATGATTACTCTGAACAAGTGGCAAAAAGAAAGAACAAGAAAGTAAAGTAAAAATTTCCAACTGATCTCCTGGTAATGTTATTGGTCTTAATGTCTTATTTGCCTAAAATTTAATTGCATTAAACACAATTTAGGCAGAAGACACAAAACACTAACCTACAACTGATAATATCTTTAGTATAACCAGAGTAACTTCTCTGACTCGTCAATTATATGGAACAGTGTGTGTGTGTGTGTGTGTGTGTGTGTATATATCTCAAAACAAACCAAATTCACTGATGTCAAGTAGGTTCCTACTCATAGCGACCCTTCCTTGTGTTTCTGAGGCAGTATCTCTATGGAAGTATATTACCCAGTCTTCCTTCTGAGGATTGGCTGGTGGGTTTGAACCACCAGCCTTCTGGTTAGCAGTCAAATGCCTTAGGCACTATGCCATCAGAGCTCATATATGGTTTATGTATATGTATATATAGAAAGGAGGAGCTCTGGTAGCATAGTGCCTAAGGCACTTGACTGCTAACCAGAAGGCTGGCAGTTCAAACCCACCAGCCACTCCTCGGAAGGAAGGTTGGGCAATCTACTTCCGTAGTGATACAACCTTGGAAACCCAAGGAGGGGTTGCTACGAGTTGGGTCCGACTCCACGGCACATGACAACATACATACATACATACATACACACACACACACACACACACACACAGAGAGAGAGAGAGAGAGAGAGAGATTATTTGGGACAACAAATATTTTTATAATTATGATTTCCTTAGACAACTATTAGGAGCCCTAATAGTGTGGTGGTTAAGTGCTTGGCTGCTAACTGAAAGGTCGGCAGTTCAAACCTATCTGCCACTCCATGGAAGAAAGCTGCAGCAGTTTGCTGTAAAGATTTACAGCCTTGCAATCGCTCTGGGGCAGTTCTACTCTGCCCTACAAGGTCACTATGAGTTAGAATCAACTTGATGGCAATGAGTTAGGTTTTTATAGGTAAACAACTATTAAAGATAATTTAGATATCCTGAGTGTTGGGAGATGTAGCACAACAGTCAAAAAATTTAAATCTGCCACATATCAACCACAAAGTTTATCATTTGTCTGTGACTGAGCAATGCTGGAATTTAAGTTACTTAAAAGAGATACTTATTTCACAGTTTAGAGACAAATAAAATAAATTATGTACATCTGGATTTTTTTTCTAGAGAATACGGACTTTTGTTGATCTGGGGTAAACAAAAGATATTTAGAAGGAAATACAATTAAATGAAATAAAACTGAGTACATATTATTACAAACATCTCTTAAAAAGCAGACTTAGAAAAAACAAAACTGTGGAATTTTAAAATGACTACCCTGCTTCCCCAAATGTCTTGCTATACAGTTCAATCCCCACATAGCAGTCAAGGTGATCTTTTTGATCATACTGTTTCCCAATGAAAAGTCTTTAATGGTTTTGTATTATAATCAGCATAAAATCTCTACAGCCCTAGGTAATCTGGCCCTAACTCTGATATCTCATCTCCAACCACTTCTCATTCATTGAACCCCAGCTACCTTGGCCTTCTTTTCCTGATTTAGGTCAAATTTGTTCCCATCTCAGGTACTTTGAATTCCTATGCCTACATGGCTTATACCCCAAGATTCTAGGTGAGGCAGTCTCCCCAGTCATCATTAAGCTCTCAATTCAAAAGATGCTTTTCTAAAGGCCTCTCCCTAGCTACAGTAACCCCATTCTTTCACAGGTTTATCTTTACCAAATAACTCTGTTCTGCTATCTATTATTATTGTTGTTGTTAGCTACCATCTAGTTGGCTCCCAACTCATGGTGATCCCAAGTATAAAAGAATCGGATGGTTTTGATCCACAGGGTTTTCATGGGCTGATTTTCAGAAGTAGATCACCAGGCCATTCTTCCTTGTCTCATTCTCAGTCTGGAAGCTCGACTGAAGCCTGTACAGAATCACAGCAACACACAAGCCTTCAGTGACAAGTGGGTGTTGGCTGCACTGGAGGTGCATTGGCTGGGAAAGCAAACCCAGGTCTCCTGCATGGAAGATCAGAATTCTACCGCTATTCCCTAGTATTTATTACTACCTTGGAAATACTACAAAATTTGATTATTTCCACTATTTTGATCCTTTGCATCATTGAATAAGCTTAGCGTAAGTAACCTGGGGTGTTAATGCTGATTGCTAATCATTACTATTCACCAGCAATGGCACAAATTGATTTGCGATTACATTCAAGCTGTTTTTTTTTTTTTTTTTACTATATAATAAAGAGACAAAATGTGCTTCCATTCTCGGAGATATCATATCTTTCATTTGCTGAATGGTGATAATACTGATACCACGATATTATAACAATAATAGTGTCAAAGACTTAGAGAGGTTTCTACAGATGAGGCATCTTTTTAAAAAGCTTCACATGAATTTACTTTCTAAATCCTTATAACTCTTTGAGATAAATACTAATAATATCCCCATATTACAAATGAGAAATCTGAGGCACAAAAAAATTAAGGAACTTTTCCAAGGGCCCACAGATAGTAAGTGGCAAAGCCAAGATTGAAACCAAAGCTGTATGGTTTAAAGCTTGTGCTCTTAACCACTGTACTATAATGATCTTTCTGACATTAGTGAAACATTTTATGTAATTCACCCATGTAAGTAAAAGGGAAGATGAGAAGGGAAATAAGTGAAACTCACAAAGCTTACAGGACTTGTCCAAGGTCACTGGCTCTAAAGCCAAGCAGTAGCCCATTTTATATGTTCTCTTTCTAATCTTAAAAAGTTTAAGGAGGTAAATAGAGGGGGTTCCGGCAAGATGGCGGACTACGCAGAAGGACTGCACAGACCCTCTTCAACAAAGAAAAGGGAAACCAATTAACACAGACACAGGAGATAATCTTGGACCCCTGAGCCTTGAAGGGAAGGATACAGAATTGGACTAAACCCCAACTAGCAGAAGAATTTGCATGAAAATACCAAAAAAAGG